AAAACAAAATTAAAATAAAAAAAATACAAGTCTCTCCAAAATGGGAACATTCAAACAAGATCCCAAGGGCAATGCTTGAAGGAAGTTGAGTTAATCAGTCCCTTAAGGACGGCTCCAGTTTTACAAGTGTTCTTTGTCCCCAAGGCCTGAGGAATTGGGGAATTGAGAAGAAAAAGTCCCTCCCCTTCACACTGAGTGTGATCTGACCCCTGAAGTGATGGTGTCTCTGGAGTCCGGGGCATTCCATGTCTCTAAAGGACCTCAAAGGCTTCCTTTTGTCTTTGTCTCGCTCTCTCTCTCTCGGTTTGCTAGTTGCAAACCCTTCCTTTGTCTGTGTCTCTCTCTGCTTCTTCTTTTGTTGCTTCCTGTCTTTTCTGGGTCTGTATCATCCCCCTCCCTGCAGCTCTCCGACCACGTTTCTCCCCAGCTGCCTCTCTTGTCATGCTCGCCCATTACAGAGCCTGCCTGCCGGTCCTTGTGTGTCTGCATTTCTCCGTAGTAGACTCTCCCGTAAGCCCATTTCCTGCCATGCGCCTCAGTGGAAAAACTCCAGAATGAGAACCTTGACCCTTCATGATAAAGGGGGCTAATAAACTCCAGGTAAAATACAATCTTTTCTTCCGAGGGGGAGTCTCTCTGTGTAGTGTAGGCTAGCCTCCGACTCAGAACGCTCTTGTCTCAACTGCCCACACCTGAGGTTATAGGATTGGGCCAGCACGCCAGCCCTCCCCTGTTTGATGATTTCCGTTCAAACCCATTTGCTGGAAAGCCGGGGTCAGAAAGAAGCAGAAAGTAACCGGAGATGCAGAAGAGAGATCTGTGTGTGGGCTCTTTGGTGGTGGTGGTGGGGGGGGGTTGAGACGCTTTCTCTGTGTAACCCTAGTTGTTCTGGAACTAGCTCTGTAGACCAGGCTGACCTCGAACTCACAGAGATCCGTCTGCCTCTACCTCTAGGTGCTGGGACCATTTTAGGTTTTCTATGCAGCTGGAACGGGGCTATTAAAGCAAGGTGGATGGTGGGACCACGTTTGGATGGTTTTCCTGCCACGAGCCCGGAAGAGGTGAGGAAGGCAGCCTGGATACCTTTAGGCACAGCCTCTTGGCAAGCCCAAGCCACCAGCTTCAGATTTGAGTGGTGAATCTTTACCGGCACACCAATTTAGAGGGAGCCCAAACTTGGAACTAAGTTTCCCTTTTTTTTTTTGCAGCACACATTATAACGCAAGTTACTTCATAGTCATGGCTTTGTTAGGACGTCACAACACATTGATGGAAAAGACCAAGGAGGTGTTAGAGTCAACTTACAGGGGACAGAGAGTGAGTCGCAGACAGGGCAAGCCGCTGTGCGTTTGGGTGATGTCTCTGTAATGGACTGAGGAGAACCCTGAAGCTCATAAGGCCCCCATAGGCTCTTGTTCTTGTGACAGGATGAGAGGGAGTCATACCCTAGGATCCCGAGCTTGGCAGAGTCATCCCTCAGCTCTGCGTTTCATCCGCAGCCCTTTCTCGCTTTCTGCCTCATTAATTAACACATCTAGTGACCCATCCTCACCCAGTCATCCTTTCTTCATATTTCCATGCAATTGTCTTCACAGCACACACGACTTACCTGTTCATTTAATCACCGTGGAGGTGTGATGAGCCGCACATTAAAAACTTGGCAGCAAGCCAGGCTGTGGTGGCACACGCCTTATAGTCCCAGCACTGGGGAGGCAGAGGCAGGCCGATCTCTGTGAGTTCGAAACCAGCCTGATTTACAAGAGCTAGTTCCAAGACAGGCTCCAAAGCCACAGAGACACCCTGTCTCAAAAAACCGAAAACCAAAACAAACAAACAAAAAATCCTTGGCAGCCAAGTAGTGGTGGCGCAGGCCTTTGGTCCCAGCACTTGGGAGGCGGAGGCAGGTTACACAGAGAAACCCTGTCTCGAAAAACAAAACAAACAAAAAACTTGGTTTAACGGCTGAGAACGAAGCCAGTTTGGGAGGACCCTTGCCCAGCCTGCAGGATGACTCAGGTTCTATTCCCAACACCGTATAAAACTTGACGCGATGGCACTGGCCTGCGGTCCCAGTGGGAGGGAGAGGCAGAAGGATCAGAAGGGTATCTTCTGCTGCACAGGGAGTGCCAGGCCAGCCTGGGCTACATGAGACATTGGCCCCAGAAGAAATAAGAGCACAGGCAGATGAGGCTTTTATGAAAGCACTGTTTTACATCTTGATTGGCACATTTGGTCTGGATGAACCAGACATATGGAAACAAAGAAGGGCTTTGCTAGTCATGTTCTGTGGACTGGTGCAGTGAGAGACGCAGTGGCTCTCAGGAGCCCGGGAT